CCTTTACGAGAATAACAAATAACATTTTTGGGGGTCTATGAATGTGGGTAGGTATTAATTCATCATCAATAAATTTCTTCAACTTTTTAGCACCTTTCAAATGAACACCAGCCCACTAAGTGCCCATCCAGAGCTATGAAAGAGCCTCATCAAGTATCTGAGGAAGGAGGTGGGAGAGGTGGATATTTTGCTGAAGAAGCCTATCTTCCACTTCCTTTTTCCTTAAATAACAACAGGACAATTTTTGTCAAACTTATGACACTAATTAATAGTTAATGATTACAAATTACCATCCTAATGCTCTTATCCCACCCTCTACTTCACTCCCTCATCTATTGTTATCTTAACAGACTACTTTCTACTACGGATAACAACCACTCTACACTCTACTTTCACCAACACCATCTCCGCAACCTCTCCCGCACATCAATCATCCAGCAACGACTTCAACTTTTTAATTCATTCAACGGCGACGCTTTTTATCCACTTTCTGTTTGGCCACAAGAGTTTAAGTTAATTTTCTGGAAAAAAAATAATCAGCGACAAGGACACATTCAAACTGTTTTTTGGCAATGGCTGTTCACCCCACCTGATTTCACATTGGATCCTCACATCACAACACTGGACTACAGACAAAAAGGCCGAAAAATGTGCTCTCAACTAGATTGCCTACTCGGCAACACGGACAACAAGTCACATATCTGGTTCTACTTTGATTTACACTGTGGGGAATGGCTATACCTTAACCGAAACGGACAAAAAAGATCAACTAACAATAACAACTAAATATTTAAATTCCCTTTCGATAAAATTTTTTTAAAATTACAAGATATATTCCTTATTATAATGTCAACGAACACAAAAGAACGACTAATAACTAACCATTTAAATTCTCTTTCAATTACATTCTTGAACTATTTCAAGTTATATTCCTTATAGTAGTTTCATTGTGAAGATTCTTATCTTGTACATTTCTTTCACCCCCCTTTATTTGCAATTTATATTTCTGTTACACCTTATATTTTATTCCCTAAAAAAAAAATTATAGGTTAACTTCAGAGCCATACTTTTACTAACTTAAATTTTTATGGGAACTTAACATTTTCCTTTACTTAATTCTAATCTTATACTTTATCCGACATCTCGGATTTTATTCTAAGGTATTATCCAATCTTTTAAAATTATTTCACAATTTTAACAACTCTGCAGATATCACTATAGCAACTACAAGGGTCATTTTTTAACTTTTATTAACAGAAAATTCTTCAGAGTCAGTAATTCTTTGAGTTTTTTAAGAACGAATACATTTCAGTCTCATTTTAACTATATCAGTGATTCGATAAGTTCTTAAGAACGACAACAGCGTTTGCACTTGACACAGCATTTTACAGCAATTATCATTTTTATAACGAAACTGTGTGATCTCCATTTAGAAAACAACACGCCGTCTGGACATCGTTGCCATGTGCAGTTCTTGGCAACCACACATGGCGGAGTTGCCTGGTGACACTGTCAGGGACCGCGCAGAGGGAGGGGCTGGGGGCTTAAGCCCCCACTTTTTTGCAAGAATAAAAATAAATTAAACAAAAAATAATTTAACAAAAGTAACGGAGTGAAAAATAGCAAAAAATCGTTAATTCGAAAGTGACCAGAGTTACTGGCAAAGACAAACGCGCAAATAAATAGACAGAATGAAGCATTAGTCGTTACAATTGTAAAATATTTCTTCGTTTCTAACCTAGCAGAGGTAAACGTCTTTTAAATGGCTTCTTTTTCCTGCGGACCTCTCAGGAAAACGCGTTGTTTCGTAATTGGTCAATTTCGATCCAAAGTAATAACTGGGTTTAGTTTATAAGGCGATTCTCAAACAAATTGTTTATTAGTTTCAACCTTGATTTTTGGAAGATCGTGAAGTTATTGTTTCTCTTGTTATTGTGCGTCCTGATTTTAGCTCGATCAGCGCCGTCTTTTGATGTCAGACTTCACGGCTCGTTGAGCATTCCAATTGCAAGTTTTGTTCAACCCGGTCTGTTTATAAAAACATTTTGTCATCGAAAGTACTTAAACCGCAGAATTGTGTATAGCTCTGGTCATCAAGGAACATTCAATCCGGCGGTTATTACGAACAAAGAAGTGCAACATAAATACGAACGACGAGACTTCACATACCACTAGTAATGCGAAGAAGAGATCTCTTAAATTTTCTGATTACTTTTCCAAACAAAATGGAAAACCTTCTTTATCTGGTGAGTAACCTGTGCATAATTTTTGCTACTTTTTTCTGAATCTGTTCTATAATTGAACTTTCATTCACTAAATTATTTTCAGTCACCGTTTTGTTTTGCCGTGTAAATATTTTGAATGAATAATTAAACAATTATTGAACTCGGCTTTCGTATGATATAAAGAACTACAGATCTCGGAGGGTGTTATCCACGGGGCTCAAGCCTTCGGCTTTGGCGGATAACCCCCTCGATCTGCATAACTCTTCATATCATACTCAGCCTCGTGCAATAATTGCTCAGTAATTATACAGCCTTGAGTTCAAGGCAGCTCAAGCAAAATCGTTGGATTTCTGGCTTATTTATAGTAATTAAAGGTTGATATCAGTAGTATAACATAACAATCTATGATATTTCAATTTAGTGATGGTGAATTTTCAGACCCGATAGCAACATCACTGAAGATGTGAAAAAAAATCAACAGTTTTATCGTTATTCGCATTCTCCGTCACTTTAGAGAAATTGAATAGAAATCCACAAGCATGCCCCCCCCCGGCCCAAATTTTCCTTCTCGCATTCTTCTTTAGCCCCCCCACTCGAAAACTTGCTGCGCGGTCCCTGACTGTTCACTTCGACCCAAGGTCCAGGTGAACACCCCACATTGAAGAGGATGGACATTTCTCCTTTCCTGCACGGTTCAAGTGAACCTTCAAAGAATGTGAGGTCATGTGCAGCACGGCTGAAGAATGCATTCAGCATGTCAGTGAGATAAAGCACCCCAAGAGACTCGCCTAAGTGGGTTTGTGTTGGTAGGTGATGTATATTAAAGATTCCGTAACATTAAAGAAATGACTTGAGTGACCATTTGAAATAACTGATCAGATAGCAAGAAGAGAAGAAGATCAAGAAATGATCTATTTGTGAGGCTGATCTAATTTCCTTCCAGAAACTTCAATTAAAATAGAGACAGAAAAAAGGTGGAAAAATGACTTTTTCATGTTTGAAATCAAAGCTGGCTTGCAGCGTGCAAAGAAAGTGGTGTCCGATAACCCGGAGCTAGTGGATTTTGCTATCGGGCTAGTGAATTCTGTTTTTAACCTGCCCGATGGGCAAGTGAATTTTTCTGGGGGAAATTCAAATTAAAGAAGAACTGTAATCAATCCTGCTCATTTTCGGGCTAGTACATGGCAGCTACAGCTTGCCCGAATGGCAAGCTGTAAACTGACTTTCTTTGCACCCTGCTTGGATAAATATTTTTGTCAACTCTAAATTTGAGACCTCCAAATATAGACTGTCCATTAATTTAGTTTATTGGCACAAGGATTCTTATGACATGCATAGCTCATCCAACCATGCATAAATTCCATAGCAACAGTTACATTCGACAACATTATACTGTATGCATGGCCATCTTCCCTCTTTAATGCATAGAGTTTGAACATTTTACCTTTCAATAGAAATTTACTTGCATTACTGTCCTTTGTCTTTTAACAGCACACGATAGGAAGTTTACCTCACTTGATGGGCTTGACGCCTCCACCTAAACACATTGCATTTGCCAAAGAGACTACGATGTGAGCACTGTGATTATATCACAAATAGTTCAACGCACCTCAAGAGGCATGCAAAAAGACAGCACGAAATGGCCAATCTGCACGTCAAGCGGTGGAAGCACGAGCAATAGAGAGATTAGGAACCATGCGATGGCAAACGTGAAATTGTAAATCGCGTTTTCGCCTTTCTTCCTCTTTTTTGGCTCAAAAGTGCTACGAAATTTTTGGTAGCCTCCCATAAGAATGATCCCCAGAATTTAGTGCACTTTAAACCTTCACTTTAAACCATCAAACAGTACTCTGACAGTGCTAGCCTGATAACTCCTGGTAGGTATATGAGTTTGAAGTTGCACTTGCAAATAAAAGAAAGATACGGACTATGATTAGTACGTACTTCACGTTGAGAAACACAGGTTTTTTCGGGACAACACACTATCATTTGCTTAAAACAGCAGTACTCAATTAAGCCAAGAAAAAATATCTCTTTTAATTTCTCTCAGCTAAGGACGGCAATAGCTCATAATTCTACCTCGCATTTGCATACATTCTGAGATCACATGAGATAGCAAGTCACGTGACTTCGAGCTCAGTGCGAGTTTGATTTCGGGCAAGGTCGCTTGGAGCACTAGTCGCTCCCACAAAATTTTCAGAAATTTCATCCATTTCTCGTTCAGAGCCTCAAGCCGAAGATATAAGCGATGTCAAAACAATCTGAGGACGATCTCCTCGCCGACGAAATTGAGGACGAGGGCGAAGAAGACCAGATAAACAAGGATTCGCTACCCGACGAACGCAACGCGGTGCCTGCACACGCTTCACGACAACTCAAGGACAAAACAGCCGCTTCTTCGGAAGAAATTAGCCAACTCACCCACGCAATTCTAGGCCTGACCAAAAGCCTGCCAGAACTCATCAATTCGCCGCGGGGAGAGACAAAAGACAAAGGGAAACGGCCGGCGAGCAAATCTCCAAACGCTGTTCCCGCCAAAAAAGCAAAAAAAAAGATGGCGAGGCGAGAAGCTCCACGAGCGCCTCCGACCAGTCAACTGACTGCGAGAAACTCTATGACTCTGTGTTAAACAACAACAGTGATGAGTCAGAGCAAAACACCACTCGTAGTGGTGATGAGGATGATTTCCTCTCGTAACTCGTAAAAGAATACGAGTCTGACGATATCGTGGGCGAAAGCCTCGAAAATGAGAAACTAGCCAAGCTAGTTGACAAAATGTTCCGCTGCAAACTAAGCGAGAAAAATCTCAAAGACCGGCTTGAGAGGCAGGAGAGACCGGCTAATTGTACTACAGCCAAGCCTCCCAAGGTAAACCCGGGCATTTGGCGTCGACTGAGAGAGCCAACTAAGAAGAGGGATTTACAATTTTTCAAAATACAACAAGCCCTCACAAAAGGCATCCTGCCAGTTGTCCGAATCACGGACAAGCTTATGCAGGCAAAATCGCTTAATGCTGATGAATGCCAAGACCTAAAGAAACAGGGGCTGGAGGCCATGTCCCTCCTCACTCATGCCTCTTATGAAATAAACATGCAGCGCCGTCTTCTACTGAGACCAGATATTGGGAGAGAATACTCAGCTCTCTGCTCCTCCCAATTGCCATTTACAGATTTTCTCTTTGGAGATGATCTACAAAAGCATTTGAAAGATATTGGCGATCACAACAAAATCGGGGCCAAGATCACCCCTAATTATAAAGGGCATCGCCCTTCTCCAGGAAGACCTGGCAATAACAGCTATAATGGCTATAAGCAGTCAAAAAACTGGAGAGGCAACAACTTCAAACCTTGGAAATCCAAGAACAATGCCAACCGGGACAAGACAACCCGGACAAGCCAATAGAACACTTGCTGCCAGCTACTAGCACAGTAAGTATATGTTCGCCTCTTTGTACCAATGTATATATTGCTGGAAACATAGCTAAGCATTTCAGTGCTTGGCAGACGCTCACGTCTGACCCCTACATTTTACGCATCGTTAAGGGTTACCAACTAGAGTTTTGCAACCCTCCTTGCCAGGTGTTCACCCCTAGAGCTGTCAAACTTTCTTGTAAAGAGACAGATATTGCTACTACTGAAATGAACAAGCTTTTAACTAAAGGGGTCATTAGGAAAGCTACTCATGTTCCTGGTGAATTTATCTCAACAATTTTCACCAGGCCCAAAAAAGATGGGTCTCACCGTCTTATTTTGAACTTGAAAAAGCTAAATGAGCATATTGAGTACCATCACTTCAAGATGGATTCACTGCCTCACGCACTTCAACTTATGAAGCCTAATTGTTGGATGGCTGTCTTAGACCTAAAAGACGCATACTACTCTGTTCCTATTAGGACTGAGGACAGAAAATACCTTCGTTTCGAGCACGAAGGCCAACTTTATGAATTTGTTTGTCTTCCTAATGGCCTCTCTAGTGCACCCAGAATTTTTACCAAATTGTTAAAACCTGCCCTTGCCAAATTAAGGGAGGATGGGGTGCTTCTAGTAATTTACATTGATGACATTATACTTTTTGCCGATGACCCTTAGACATTGGTCATATTTATACAAAGGGCTATTACATTGTTGCAGTCTCTGGGATTCACCATCCATTCTGATAAATCCCAACTTGTCCCATCCCAGAGAGTCAATTTCCTGGGTTTCATTTTAGACTCGGTTGTGATGACAGTCTCTATGAAATCGGACAAGGCTGATAAAGCGAAATCAGCCATTTTACAGCTCCTCAGAACGGAGCAGCCTCTTATTCGAGAGGTTGCATCTGTAGTTGGGCAAATGGTGTCATGTTTTCCTGGAGTCAAATATGGCCCACTGTATTACCGTGCTCTTGAAAATGACAAAACTGATGCTTTAAAGACGAATGGGTGGAAGTTAGATGACAGAATGCTCATCTCTGATATAGCTAAGAAAGACATGTCTTGGTGGCTTTCAAATATTGACAATGATCCATGCTCTGTCCGGCCTATGAAATACAAATTAACCCTTAAATGTGATAGCTCTCTAGAAGGATGGGGAAGTGTTATTGAAAATTCTTCCCTTGCCGCAAATGGGCGATGGTCCCACAGTGAGAGTATGTGCCACATAAACTATTTGGAGATAAAAGCAGTCCTGTTTGGCCTTCAGTCCTTGTGCTCAGACTTAACAAACTGTAACATCAAAGTATTGTCTGATAACCAAACAGCGGTTTCCTACTTGAGAAATATGGGTGGCACTCACTCTCGGGACTGTAATGAGATTGCAAGAGAAACTCTTCTGTGGTGCAAAGACAGGGGCATATCCTTAGCTGTCACCCATTTACCTGGAAAACTTAATGTTGAAGCTGACCTAGCAAGTAGACATTTTCATGATGACACGGAATGGTCATTAGACTCTCATGTTTATAACAGCTTAATTACTGAATGGGGTAATCCTGAGATTGATCTTTTTGCATCACGGTTGAATGCAAAACTGCCCTGCTACGCAGCATGGAAACCTGACCCATGTGCCCATTTTATTGATGCCTCTACACTTGACTGGTCTGTGTTTAAACTTGTTTACTGCTTCCCACCTTTCAGTGTTATTGGGAAAGTACTTCAGAAGATAATATTCTCCGAGACAACAGCAATCCTAGTTCTCCCCGACTGGCCAACACAGTTTTGGTACCCACGAGTAATGTCAATGCTAGTGGCGCCTCTACACCGAATAAAGCTGCAGAAGTCAACCCTGACCCTTCCCCACGATGTCAAGAACGTCCATCCCCTCTACCCCAAGCTCCGACTTATTGGCTGTCTTGTGTCAGGAAATCCCTCCAGCTGCAAGGAATAACTGGTGAAACTTTGAACATTATTATTGATTCTTGGAGAGAAAGTACCCAGAAGCAATACAGATCCAGCATATCAGCTTGGATAACTTACTGTAAAGAACAGAAGATCAGCATTACAACACCTTCATTACCACAACTGTTGGACTTTCTAACTCTTCAGTCCAAAAAGCTTAGCTACAGTGCTCTAGGGACCACTAGAAGTGCTCTTTCCTCATTCATCAATATTGATGGCTTCAAAGTAGGAGAACACCCTATTATTTCACGTTTTATGTCGGGTGCTTTCAACAGGAAACCAACTTTTCCCAGATATGTGGAAACATGGAACCCCCAAATTGTTCTCAGCCACCTCAAGGGCTATCCTGACACCAAGGAAATGTCTCTGAAGCAATTGACTTTGAAACTGACTATGATTTTGGCCTTGGTTACTGCACAACGAACACAGACTCTTAAGTTGCTGTCAATCAATGACATGCAATCTAAAGATGGAGAATATGTTTTTCAAATTACTTCCATTCTAAAGCAAACAAGTGCTCATGGTGGCAGGCAAAGACACCTGCCATCTATTGTGTTGAAGAAATATGACCATGATAAAACTCTTTGCGTTTTTACATTGTTACAAGAGTATCTTATTAGAACTTCTACCTTTGGCTCAAACAAGTTATGCTTGACGCTGGAATTAATACTTCTGTTTTTAAGCCTCACTCCACCAGAAGTGCAGCCACTTCTGCTGCAAAGTCAGCTGATGCTCCTCTAGATGAAATTATGACCACAGCTGGCTGGCGTTCAAGCTCTGTGTTTGCTGTTTATTATAACAAACCACTGTTAAATGATAGTTCCTTTGCCAACAGTGTACTGGGAAAGAATTAGTGCCTTGGTAATAAATGCCATGCTTACGTTTCCTTATCTGGAATGTGTATTCTTTATTTTTTGAGAGCCCTATAGAGCTCTAAAATCTCATGTGATCTCAGAATGTATGCAAATGCGAGGTAGAATTGAATAATTAAACGAGACTTACCTGTAAGTTGAAGTTTGATTGAGATTCTACCGTAGCATTTGCAGAAATGAAGAGATCACATCCCTCCCTTCCCCTTCCCCTGTTCATATCATCCTATGGTGTTGCATACACCATATATTTACTATTCATCTATGGGGTGGTCTACAGGACTCCTCAAAAAAAAAAAATAAATAAATATGCTTTCAAGACTGAGCTCGAAGTCACGTGACTTGCTATCTCATGTGATCTCTTCATTTCTGCAAATGCTACGGTAGAATCTCAATCAAACTTCAACTTACAGGTAAGTCTCGTTTAATTATTCAATTATAAGCTCTCAAAATAGACTATTATATGGTTCCATATAAATGCCTCGTATCTCCACAAAAGACCGTCAGTGCACTCAGACCACCACAACATGAGCCAACACGATGGGATAAACAAGAGGCAATTAAAACACGATACCAAAAAAAGAAACAAAACATTTACCCCTTGGAACACCATAGAAACCCATTACATACAACATCAACAATCCATACCAACCATACAAGGCACCTGAGCCACCATTTCAGTCATGACACCTATATATAAACAAGACGTAAAAACATCTCAACACAAACAGTGACAAAAAATTCAAATAAAAGTTTCCTTTTTCTTCTATTTTAATCTATGCAACTATTCAATTCTCCCTCTCATGTTAACATCAAGTAATTTTCTTACCCTCCAAATTTACCATTGTGGTCTGTCCATTTTGATTCATAAAGGAAAATCCACCAAAGCCCGCAGAATGGCAAGCCTAAAAGCCACGGCCACTCAAGCATTCTGTAGAGTACAGCCACTGACTCCTCCAAAACCAACAAGTTATTAGGTCAGGCTCTTGCTACAGTCTCAATTTTAATTGGCTACAGGGGGAATTCTGATCTGGCAAATTAATGATTAGATTTATTTCTACTCAAGTCATGATGATGATTTGGAATCGATGGGAATTGTTAACTTTGCTGTTATCTTACTCTTAAATTACAGAAAACAACAGGACACTATTGTCATGATATCTTGGCCATGTTGGCAGAATGGGATGAAGAGATCCCCGAAGATGTGGCCCACCTGGACATAAGTAAGGTCTACGACCTGGGTGGCACCAGGAACAGTAAGAAATGTGAAGTGGTACTGTCATTTTCACACTCTATCAATTAGTTCACTCCAACATACAAATACAACAATAAAAGAAATGATGTTTCATTTATAGTCCATTTAAAAAAACACAAGCTGCTAAAAGTGTATCTTCAATCAATCAGCTTGAAAAGTTACCTGTGTTAACAAAAAAAATCATTGTCCTTAACAGAATTTTTTTTTTTGCCCTTTTAGAGAAAAGTAATAATTACAACACAATTACACTGTTTACCAGCTGATCTCAATCATAGATGCCAGAAACCTGTATCTGGTATGGCACCAGGAAAACCATGCAGGGGAGCTGGCAAAGCTTCCACTGGCACTGTTAGACATAAAGGCTTTCTGCATGTCATGCGGCAGAGCAGGATTCTCCTTCACGAGAATAATAAACTACATTTTGGGGGTTCTCTGCATGTTCATGGGTAGGTATTATTTCATCATCAATAAATTTCTTCAACTTTCTAGCACCTTTCAAATAAACATCCTAGCCCAGCAAGTGCCATCCAGAGCAAGGAAAGAGCCTCATAAAATATCTGAGGAAGGAGGTGGGAGAAGTGGACATTCCGCAGAAGAAGCCTCTCTTCCATCAAGACTTCAAACATATTTTGGATTACCTCGGGTTAGAAGCACCAGCTGCCCCTCAAAGTAGTTCACTGCAACATACAAATTCAACAATCCATACTTTACATATAGTCAGTTGTCTAAAATATTGCAAACTTAAAAGTTTTATGCAGATACAAAAAAGCCTTGTCCTTCACAGGATTTTTTTCCAAGCCCCTCTACTGTAAAGTGATACAATTACGACACAGCTACATTGTTTTCCAACTCAAGTCAATAATATGATGCGAGACATCTTTTTCTCATATATGGCACATGGAGATCC